AGGACACGAGCAGGACACACGCAGGACACCCACAGTTCACACACAGGACACGAGCAGGACACACGCAGGACACCCACAGTTCACACGCAGGACACAAGCAGGACACACGCAGGACACACGCAGGACACACGCAGGACACGAGCAGGACACACGCAGGACACACGCAGGACACGAAGCAAGGGAGGCCGTTCAGACACGGAGCACACAAGGTAAGGGAACACCACAAACCACAGAGTGAGCAAAGAGGAGGGGTTTGAGTCAGCAAGTCCATGTACATTTTGCATTCATAATTCAAAGATAAGAGTACAGACAGAGGTCTTTTTCTTTTGAGATGACTGTCAATTTATCATTTCCATGTTCTGCGATAAATGCGAAGGCTGAGTGCTGTGCTGTGTGGTCAGAATGTGTCAGACTCTTGACTTCCTTTCCCTGACACAGAACGCGGTGCTGCCCTCTCTGTGTCAAGCTGCTAGTTGTTCTCTCCGCTGCACACACACTCACCGAAGGTGTTTCGTCAGACCGCCCTGCCGTTTAAAATTGAGCAGCTCCGACACAGATTCTGCTTGCTCAGCACAGCGCCCCGCAGCGAAGCAGCTCTCATGTGCATGCCAGCCGTCACCCCCGAGCACCGTGCAGGGCCTGACGCATACGCTCGGATGGCAAGAGGCTGACGTTTAAACAGGCCGAAACTGTGCATAGGCATGTGTGACAACTATCATGCAGTTTGTATCATCAGCACGTTCTTTCACGTGCCAAGGCAAGATCAAAGGTCCCTTTCACTGCTCTGAAAAGGCAAAAGAGAAGGGAGTGTGTTTCTACGATGCTTTTTAATGGTTTTCACTGATCGCAGTGCATCAGACTGCACTCTGTGATGTAATGTTGATGAGAAATGAGTTACAGCTCATCTTTTTTTTTCTTACAGCATGTACAGTATGTGGCTCCTGCGTGGTGACAATGAAGACTTGGGCCTGTCTCCTTCATGCGTGAGAATCTGAAAGGTACTGAGTGCAGTACAGCGAGTCACAAGTACCTTCTGCTGAGTCTAGGTTCTGAGTCTTGGGCCCAGGAGAAAACAGCTGAACTCGACACCTGTAAAGCACACCTGTCCTGCTCTCTAACAAGACACACACACACAAAACACATACTCACCTGAATCCCGAATCCAATGTTGTCGTAATATGATTCATCGACAGGGGTGCATCAAGGAGGGGGGACATAATTAACAGTAGATTTAATCACCAATCAAAACTGACAAACTGTACAGTGCCCTCTAAAAGTATTGCGACAAAAACCTTAATATTGGCGCACATGAAACAAATTATTCTGAGTCAGAGTTCGGAAGGTAACCTTTTATTTTTAGGATATATTTTGCAAACTGGATTAATCATTTTTCAACCAAAGAATTTGTTGTGTTCAGTCCCCCCCCCCCAATTGAGGTGACCATAACTTAAAGAAGTGAAAAAGTCAGTATTTTGGTGCAGATCCCTTGCTTGCAATAATTGCATCAAGTCTCTGTCCCATCGATATCACCAGACTCTTGACTCCAAAAGTTTTTGCTTGTTGGTCGGGCTCTCTGTCTTCATTCTCCTATTGAACAAATGAAATGCATGCTCAATAGGATTCAGATCTGGTGATTGACTTGGAATTGTTTCACTTATTCTGTCTGATGAACTCCTGTGTTTAGTGTACAGTATGTTTCGGGACATTGGCCTGCTGCTTAATGAGCTCCCAATAAGTCTGGTGCCTTTTTTTCCCTTATATTTGCCGACAAGATCTGTTTGTATCTGAATTCATCCTACTGCTTCCATCTTCAGTTAAGTCAGTGGTTCTCAAACTACGGAGCGCCGCCAGGCGGTGCGCCATATGACCCTGGAACTTTGTTGTGTGCACTGAAAAATTGGGACGGGTTTTCATATTTTTTATTTTAATAAAATTAGCTTGTGTCGAATGCGCAGCCTATGTACTACGACACAGAGCTACAATGTAATTATATACCATTCTATAGGAATGCGTGCTACACACGCAAGTGACCAATTGAATTTGAAAAAAGTTCTCTCCAGCAAATACTGAGGTAGGAGAATGTGCGTGATTTTGGAACAATGTCAATGTTGTAAACACAGGAAAGCATAGAAATGCGTTCTGCGAGCGCTGGTAATCCTGTGAGCACAGGAAAGCGTGATAGCTAACAGAAAAATATTTAAGAACTGTTCTACGTTAATTTGAGAAAAATACACCGAGTGTCTCTGTGTTTCGCTCCCATGCGCATGAAAAAAAAAACTTATTTTAACTTCTGAGACGGACTCCGGAAACGGAAATGGGGAAAAATGCAAGCTTGCGGATTGCTAAAGCAGGTAAGCCCCACGCTATTTTTAAAGAACTTTGTTTACCGTTGGCAAAAGAGCTGACACGTATTATGTGTGGAGTAAAGGCTGCTAAACAGCTCGACCTGCTGCCCCCTCCGAAACACACAGTCACTCGTAGAATTATTGATATGTTGGATGATGTCAAAAGTACGCTGATAGAGCGCGTTAAGATGAGCAGATGCTTTTCACAGCAATTAGATGAGTCTGTAGATGCCTTTGATTTGGCCGGTTTGCTCGTTTACGTTAGATAAGAGTTTGAGGGCACGTCCCATGAGGACTTTCTGTTCTGTAACCCGCCACCAACAGGAGAGCACATACTTCAGCTTCTGAATGAATGTATCGAAGAGAATGGCATCGACGGGATAAAACGGGTCGGAGTTTGTACCGACGGTGCTAGAGCGATGACAAGCCGACACAGCGGTGTAGTTGCACGAATTAGAGAGGTTGCTCCAGATATAAAGCGGACGCCCTGCAGCATCCACCACGAGGCCTTGGTGCCTGACGATTAAAAATCTGTTCGACTCTGTTGTGAATTGTATCAAGGCTCGACCAGTGAATTCACATCTGCTTTGCTCGACTAAACAGGCTCACCCCTCTCACTGAAATGGTGCTTTTTTATTGTTTATTTTTAATTGTTGTTGTTCCTGTTGTCTGTAAAGCGCTTTGAGAAGCCCCCTTTTTAAAGGCGCTATATCAAATACAGTTTATTATCATCATATTTATTATATGTGTATGTGAGTGTGTGCGTGCACGCGCCCTCATGTTGGTCATTGAGATCTTCTGGAGTTCCTATGAGAAGATGACTTGTAGGTGGTACTTGGATGCTTCAGTTTGATTATTGGTCCAAAAAGTTTGAGAACCACTGAGTTAAGTCATCAATAAAGACCATTGAGCCTGGTCCGGAAGCGGCCACACATGTCCGAGCCATGATACTCCCTCCACTATGCTTCACTGAAGAAGGGGGATGCTTATGGTCATTGTCCAGTTTTTCTCCACACTTTCGCCTTTCTATCACTTTGATAGGTGATCATTTCGGTCACTTAAAACCTAGTTGCAGAACTCTTGTTGCTCATCTTGGTATTTTTTTCAAGTTCCAGTTGAGCTCTTCTGTTCTTGCTGCTGTTGAGGGGCTCACACATTGCAGTACAGCCCCTGAATTTTTCTTGGTGAAATCTTCTGCGGACTGTGGTACTCGAGATTTGCACCCCCACACTGGAGATTATTTTGGATTTCACTAACAGTAATTTTAGGGTTCTTCTTTACACTCACAAATATCTTTCTGCCACCCACTGCATTTGTCTTTTTTGGACGCCCTGTTCTCTGCCTGTTCTTGTCTCCTCCAGTTGTTTCCTTTTTCTTAAGAACATTCCAGATTGTTGAATTTGCAGTGCCTTACCAATTTCTCTGATGCCCGTCATTTTCTTTCCTCTCATTTTCAAAATGGCTTTCTTTTCTGTCATGGTCTTCGTATTTCAACGGAAAGACTTCAGAAGCAGTTCCAAAGACCTCAACCATGCCTAGACCTCCACAGCTCTTTTATGTGTGTGAAATGTATGCAACTTGTAACACCTGGGCAGTTAGAAATAACTGTAAACCCATTCGACCCAATACGTATGCTCATCTAAAATGTGGGGTGTTGAACAAGAAAAGTGCTGTTTTTGTATGATGGTAAAACATTTATGCATAAAAATACCCATAGGTAAAATGGGATATTCTCTGCTTTTGTCTCATATTCATCTTGTGACTTTAACTCCAAATGTCCTGAGTATACAGCTAATTTGAACTCTTGTTCCAATACTTTTGGGGGGCACTGTACGTACATTTTAAATGAACACTTGTAAATATTGTATATTTAAGTCTGCATGCTTGTTTTAAACTGGTAGGGCTTTTTGTCTCACATGGCTAACAGCTCTCACCATGACCTAAGGAATGTGTTCCTTATTCTCAGTTCATTTCAGTTTATTGTCATATGCACACCTGCAGTGAAATGCTTATTTGCAGGTACGCTCCAATACAAAGACATTAAAGGAATCACCAAAAACATAAACACAGAACAGCAGCAGCAATCAGTGTGAGCCAGTGGTCTGGGTAGAGTTCAGTATCCAGAGCTCAGAAATAAAGACTCAACAATAATGAATAATGATGAATGAAGAACTTGTCAGTGTGCGTGGCTGTAGTAACTAAAGCATACTGTAAAATCACTCTGCTGGACTTTCTGTAGGCGTCTGTCTTGCATCCAGTGTACAGTAGAATGCAGTACAGGACCAAACCACTAAATGTTGAACAAAGCTGGGATTTATAGCATCACCTTACAGTTTTGTTTCCTCACATGCTTTGTTTACAGTCGTCTATAATAAAGTTGTTACCTGCGTTGATACCCTGCAATACATTTCACATCCTATCTTCTAAGGATAAAGCAGTTTCTGCACATGGATGGATGTACGTGAATAATAATTTTATAAGAATATAAGGAAGGTTAGAAATAAGAGGAGGCCATTCACCCCGTTTTCTGTTTGGTACTTAATGTCTGTATTGTCTGTATGTTGTCTGTATGCCGACTTGTGAACTGAATGAGATCTGCACTCTTGACTGAATCTTCTGGTCTGAAATACCAGTGGTGTAGTAAGCATTAGAAACACACATATCCCAGAAAACCTAAAAAACACAAAAAACTGAAAAATAAATTTGTGTAAAATAGAAACTATGAATTAAATTGTCCAGGAAAGGTATGTAAAAATGAAGAACATTGGTCTCACATTTGTGAACTCAGTTGAGATAAAGTAACAGCAAGGCGTCAGTAATTACCTTTGAAACGTTGCTGGGGGTCCTTGGCCAGTTTGACAGCCATGGCCAGTCCGATCCCCGAGGAGCAGCCTGTAATCAGAACCACGCTCTGGGCCATCTCTGCTGCGTCTTGGGCCCGGGAGTACATAGCTGAACTCGACTGGGATGCAAGCTGTGCTGTAAAGCGCACCTGTCCTGCTCTCTGCGTTTTAAAGGCTTCAGACAGGGATTAGCTTCCTGGATTCTGGCTTATCTTGGAGGAGTGACCATTGACACCACTGTGCTTCCCAGAGATGGTAGGAGAGCAGAAGTGTGAATGAAATAGAGACGCCTACTGCTACTGGTCACCCAGAGTTTTGTAGGCTGGGTAAACATGGCCTACTTGACCAAAATCAGTCAATTTAAAATGTCCATGCTTATCATATTGTGTTTTTTTACTTATGATGCCCTCTTTTAAGTGCCCTCTGGGGGTGGTTTCATGCTGTGAAAAATAGAAAAAGAGCAGTGAGATAGATATTGAGCTCCTCCCCTCCCTGTTAGGCTGAATCGAGTCAGGTTACCTGCGTGCACATTGTTGCTCTCCTCCAGCCAATGAACAGGTGGAAATAGAAAGGCAGTGGCTGCCTTTCTTCCTCTTCCAGTCTTCATCGTATTTCTGGTGGCAATGCAGAATATTTCGCCAGATATCGCCAGCAGCCCACTGAAGCTCAGCAGGTGTGAGCCTGGTCAGTACCTGGATGGGAGACCTCCTGGGAAAAACTAAGGTTGCTGCTGGAAGAGGTGTTAGTGGGGCCAGCAGGGGGCGCTCATCCTGCAGTCTATGTGGGTCCTAATGCCCCAGTATAGTGACGGGGACACTATACTGTAAACTGGCGCCGTCCTTTTGGTGAGATGTAAAACCGAGGTCCTGACTCTCTGTGGTCATTAAAAATCCCAGGGCATTTCTCGAAAAGAGTAGGGGTGTAACCCCGGTGTCCTGGCCAAATTTCCCATTGGCCCTTACCAATCATGGCCTCCTAATAATCCCCATCTCTGAACTGGCTTCATCACTCTGCTCTCCTCCTCACTGAGAGCTGGTGTGTGGTGAGCGTTCTGGCGCACTATGGCTGCCGTCACATCATCCAGGTGGGGCTGCACATTGGTGCTGGTGGAGGGGATCCCCATGACCTGTAAAGCGCTTTGAGTGGAGTGTCCAGAAAAGCGCTATATAAGTGTAAGCAGTTATTATTATTATTTGAAACACCAGGCGCATCACCGGCCAGCAGCACCTCTTGTGGCCTGTTTGCACACGTATATTCACCTCAGTTATTTAAGTGACACGAACAGAAGCCCTCACTGCCCTTGGTTCGCTCATCCAGTGGGGCTTGTCCGTCCGAGCACTGCTGTCAGTGGAAATGCAGAGACTTTCAGACCCCCAGAGCAGCAAGGCTGAGCACGTGTACAAGTCTGTTGTTCACAGTGAAAGACAAGTAGATTTCATCTCCAAATAAATGTTGAAGGCAAACTATCAAATTTTTAAGACCTGCAGTCTGGGGTGGATATGAATTGTTTTTTAGTGGAGAAGTGTGATGCTGAGGTGCAGTTAATGAATACAGTGATACCTGGATGGGGAATTCAGCTCCTCGTGCCCATAGTGTGCTCAGTCAGAGCTTTGTAAGTATGAACATTAGCTACTGTATCTGCTGCTGATGTAGCAGGTATTTTAAATACCACTATATTTGTTACATTTAAGTGTTTGAAAACCATCCAAACTTATTAGGTAATATAGTCAATGTTATCATCTGCTTCAGCCCCAGGGGAAGAGCCTGTTAGTGAACCCTCCTCTGATCCAGCCCAGACTCATTCACACAAGGGAACCAGAGTCTTAATATGACGAAACCCAAAACTGAAAGGAAATCGCTTGACATAAAAGCCTTTTGTCTTCAGTGATGTTAACATTGGGGAAGATGGAAGCTGAAATGTGTTTGGTACACTGTTTTTAAGAAGGTTCAAAATGTATATGTTTGGGCTCCTTGTGGGGTGATCGGGGTCACAGCAGGGGATGTGATCAAGGCCTGCACTCCCCACACCGGGGTCAGGGGTCAGAGGTCAGAGCCCAACTGTGCCAGCTTCAGCAATTGGGGACCACAGAAAATAGTCGCGCTGCAACCAGAGGCATAGATTGTAAAAGCTTTCCTTGAAAATTACTGTGCACCCAGCGCCTACACGGCTGTCAGTCATTTTCACAGTGGAGCGTGACCTGTTCAGATGTAGGATGTGGTCTGAGGTTTGGGCACAGGTTGAGAGTCTTTTAAAAGACAGGGGAGTCTATGGTGAATGTGAGCCGGGAAACCGGTTGCTGTCGGAGCCATGCCCCAGAGGCCGATGAGTCAGAGCGGTTCTGTTTGGGGGCGCACAGGGAGGATGTGTGACCCCATTTCTGTGTGACGCCAGCTCAGCTGGGCAGTCTAAGAGAGTGGAGAGAACAGTGCTGGGCTGAGCACTGACAGCAAGTAATTAAAAAAAAAGATAAGCTATTCATACGTGTTTGTGAATGGAAAATAAAGTACTTATAAAAATATTATTATTTGACACGTCAAATAAATGTGTCTGTGTCCAGCTCTTCATCTGCTAATCCTTTCATGATGTTGATCTTAAAAACAGCAGCAGTCCCACCAGTGTGAGATCACCCTGTGTCCTCTGAGTTGATCTTCTTTTGCTCTCAATCCAATTACAGCTGTGCAGCTGCTTGGCTGGAGGACAGTAATACAGGGTCAGACTCCCCCTCCCCACCGTCACCCTGGACGGATTGCATACCTTGCACAAAATGGCATGACGCATCTATTAATACCTTCTGCGAAACAGTCCAGCTCCCCTTTGCTTAATGGTCTTGGCGTGCCTGAGTTTGACCCATGGGGTCATTATGAATTAAAACACAGCCCCCCCACCCAAGCGTGTATGATCAGTCTGACTTACATGCCTAATCTCTATGAGACTATATAGGGAGCTTATTGTGAGAGGGATACACAGATCCTTATCCCCCCACTCCCCCCGCCCATGGTCACCCTGCTGGGCCCAGGCATGTCTTCAGACCACTGCCCACACACCGGCGGACCCCGGCCAGGCCCTGAGCCTGGTGATAAAACAGAACAGCTGGGCACTAATACAGCACCCTTTCCAAAGAACTAGAACAACAAGGGGCTGTTATGTAGGATAACAGTATTAAGAGGAAGCAGGAGTTCTGTTGTTTTATATTTTTCCCCTATTGAAATGTCTTTTCCTCCATGTTATGTACATGGCTACTGGGCTGGTTCAGGGCTGGCCCCGGCGAGGGAGAGCGCTGCCCCTGCTTGTCTCTGCTGCTCTTCTGCCCGGAGAGCGGCTCTGGCTGTAAAACACTGCACAGCTGCCCTCCTGGCGCAGACCCCAGCCTCAGAGAGTGCAGTGCCGGGCTGCAGGAGAGCTGGGCACAGGGGCTGCGGCCTGTCGTTTTCCCCTGATTACATCACCTGTTCTCGGCAAAGGGGCTCAACTGCCTCACAGCAGGAAGCCGTCTGTGGCTTTCTGAGTCTGTGTGCATCGTGCCTCTTCACAGACACAGATTTCTTTGACATTTCCTGGACAGTTTTTATCAACTTAAAGCAGGGGGGCCGAGTACGTTTCATTGTCAGTTTAAATGAAGCGCGCGCTCTAACAGGGACAATACCACAGCAGCACCCGAAAGCCCAGCTGTCCTTATGATTAATTTAATTCTGTCGATGAGTTTTCTGCTCATTTATGAAGGTTTTGTGAATTTGTAACTAAAAGTAATATTACTATAATTATTGTCATTTCTCAAGGTTTATTTGTAGGTTTTCAGACCTTAAAAAAAGCATTGACGAGAGCTGCACAGACCATTCAGCTGATTTTATAAATCATCCATCCATTTTCTAATGCTTTACCCGATTCAGGGTGACGGAGGAGCCAGAGCCTGTCCCAGCAGGCAAAGGGGTGCAAGGCGGGGTACACCCTGGATGGGACACCAGTTCCTCACAGAGACACACTCAAACCAGGAGCCAGTCAACCTGCCAGCATGTCTTTGTGCTGTGGGAGAAGACCCACTTGAACACAAGCAGAACACAAACTCCACACAGGGACCCCAGGAACTGAGCCCAGGGCCCCAGTGCTGTGAGGCCGCAGTGCTAACAACTGCACCCCTGTACTGGCCACATCATTATTTAAATAATCAAATAAATTATATAATAAACTTAATATTATATAACCACATTTTTCATAGGCTTAGGTATTGTTTTAGCCTCAGAGTTGTGTTTTAAACTTCAAGCTGTTTACACCTCTAAAGGTTTTTTGTTTTGTTTTCAGGAAGTGGTAATGGGGGTTTTTAACAACTGAAGCCCCCGGCCCAGGAAGAGGAACACCCAGGCAGAGGTTAATACACTGCTGCTGTAGCACTGCTATGATAGATTTCATTCTTAGGTTGGAATTATTTATCATGTGCACCCTACTTTTTCACATAAAGGGATACTCATGCTACATTGCTTGCTGCAGGCTATGGTAAATACTGTCTCCAGTTTAGGATTAGGGATCTTTTCTTCACCCAAGCTTTGAATATACAAATTTAAAAGTAATACCCACAATATGATAGGAAACAGTTTTTCCACTGCTTAACGGTTCGGCTATAATAATGCCCATAATGGGTTTTAGGAGCAAAGAGTATGTTGGACAAAAGGTGCAAAAAAGAAAATAGTGTTTTCTGCATCCAAGGTAACAAGCAAGATATCTGCAGCATTTGGAAATCTCAGTGCAAGAGCTCAGCTGTGCTCTGTGCTTGGGATCTGCTCGTCAGTGCAAGAGCTCAGCTGTGCTCTGGGAGTAGTGTCTGCTCGTCAGTGCTAGAGCTCATCAGTGCTAGAGATCAGCCTGTGATTTGGGAGTTATGAGTTTTCAGTGCATCCATAAAGACATGAGAACAGTTTCAAATGAGAGGAGCCGTTTGTCCCCTCAAACTCATTTTGTTAGTTGGTCCCTAATTGGTCCGATGATTTCATTAAGCTGTTTCTTGAAAGAAACGGGGGCCAGGCACGGCAGCTAGTTCCACACTCCCACAGCTCTAAGCATAGAACCTTGTCTCATTTTCTCCATTTTGAAAGCACTTCCACGTCATTTCCATTTGTGTTCTCTGGCTTGTATATCACTGCCAGTGCTGATAAAGCCAGTTCTAATACCGCATCACTCATTTAGGACCCAGAGTTGAATTGCACACAAATAATGCATTAGTGCTGCAGTTCAGCATGCAGAAACAAGCTACCAGTGTTGGGGAAACACAACGCCACACTATGCAAAAGAATGCAAATGCTGCTCCCTAGTGACCAAGGATATAAAATGATTCATATTTTTCAGAACCTCTTGCGAGTTCCCCCTTCGTGCACCAGATCAGGAAACATGAAGAAGGCACAGGCTGGATCGGGAACTGGATCAGACCTTGCTCATCCTTCCTCCCTGGGAGCTCTGCCTGTTTGCGCAGGACTGCGTGGAGATATGCCGTCTCGGGCTTCACTACACCACCCGGACCAGCAAGGGGACCTTGGCGGAGAAGACCCACCCTGCAGCGTCTCCGGCTGGGAAATTGACTGGATTACAGAAGCAATAATCCAGAAGCAAATCCCATAATGGAATTGTGAGAAACTGTCAGCATTCATTAACCAAGGGGTCTGCAGGTCAGCTTTGCCCTAATCTAGTGGGGCCGCAGCTTTGGGCTCTCGCTGCGACAGCGGTGCCAGTGCCCAAGCTGGTCAAAGAAGAGTGGCACCAGCCCGTGCTGCAGATCTGTATGCACCCTCTGTGCCCACCTGTGCTTTCTGTCCAAGAAGTAGGCATAGGTGCTACTCAACTTCAAACCCAACCACTCACCCTTTTTGGATTTCTTCAACAAACGTGGGAGGAAAGGTCTGCGGATCAAGAGGAACAGACTCAGTTTAAAGGTTTGGATTTGGCCTTCATAGTGACCCATAGACCCAGAGGCCGGTTACATAACTCAAAGCCCTTTGTCTCTTGCTGTTTATATCAGGCAGTTCCTTGAACTGGGATACATCCATAACCGCAGGGGCTGAGCCAAAGCTGTTTAAAGCGATCAAGCCCTTTATTTCTTGACACGAATTACTGTACAGGATGAGAGCAAAGCTGCTCCTTCACATCCTGACAACAAAAGAGAGAAAGGTTCCCGTTGAAACCCGCATGAGATAGATAAAGGATTAAATAAAAAGGTTACCGACTACAGGAGTTGTGCTTGGAAGCCTGGAACATCTTGGACCGGCCCCCTGCTGGCCAAAACGAGTAACAGAGAGTGATGCTGAAGGCTGGTGGCACCAGGACATTAAACATTGCACAGCTGGGTCTCTGTCCCTCTGTCCCCCATACATGTGGCTGTTTGTGCAATTTGTAGCGGAGTAGTTTATCATCTGCAGGACCAGATAGGCACTTACAGAAATGAAACAGATGCTTTTGAGCAGCTGGAGTGCAGCTGAATTAATACAAACTAGAAAAACATTCAATGTTTTATTTAACTCAAATACCAATGTGTCACTTTAAGTAACATTCATTTGAACATATTCCAAAAGATCTTGCATGCAAGCAAAAACACTTGGTACTTTCTTCTATAATGGGAAGTAAACTCCCTTCATAGAAAAATCATCCAGTAAGAAGATTCACTACTGAGGAGTCGGGCATAAGCTGCTTTGTCTTAACCTCTGGCTGTGAGCCAGCGACGGGACCACAGGACCCCCAGGCAGGGGGGAGAGAACCGATTAACGGAGGTGGTGGGGGGTTGAGGGGGGGTCTGTGCAGGCAAGAGAAGTGTCCGATGGTATGGGCTTGCTCTTGGTGGGGGGCATCCCTCACAAACCAGTAAACAGCCCAGGGGCCTGGGTGACCGATACACTTGGAAAGAAAAGGTATCCTGAACATTTGTGCACCTCTATAAAAATATTTGAGTATTTATTCATGTTTTGGCTGCAATCTGATTCATAATTCATAATCTACCATACAGCCCTACTAGGCTGTGCTCTAAAACACACTGACCCCTTCAAGGAGAAGGACACAGGCTGGGTGTCAAAAGAACAATGTACATTTATTTAAAAAAAATAAAGCCATCAACATGGAAAACCCTTAACGGGTGCATACTGTAGCATTCAGAAAACTTTTTAAAAAAATAAACGAGTTCTAAAAGCTACAAGACCATGCCTATACAACTTTTGCACTTCTCACTAAGTGCTGCATAAAAACTTAAAACACAATAAAAGATTTAAAAAGATAAATACTGCGCAGAGTTCTGTGGATTAAAAACCAGGTGATCAGTCCTTTGTCTTCACCGGGTGGAGACGCTAAGGTGCTGGACCCTGCAGGAGTGACGACACTCCCAGGGGCCTGAGGCTGACCTCCCAGCCCCCAGAGCAGCTGACCCGCCACTGCTGAAGCCCTCACAGAGGACAAGGAGCCCGTCTGGAATCTCCCCAGCAAAAAGTCTGGTTTTAAAAACGTTCCCGTACACGGAGGCCAACGAGGAGCCGCCTCAGGGCAGGCCGGCCGCCAGGATGCTGCCCAGGAGGGCCTTGTCCTTCAGGGCGTGTTCCACGTCCTTCTCCTGCATCTTCAGGCTCACCTGCAGGAGGAGGACAGAGACGAGGCGGTTGGGACGATGCTGGAACACGCGCGATGACGGACCTCGCCCCCCCCCGCCCCCGGCGCCCGCAGTACCTTGGTGAGCCGCGCCTCCTTGGCCTTCTTGAGCCCGAACACCCCCCGGCTCTCCAGCAGCGTGCAGAGAGACAGACACTCGCCGGACGCCACCGCGCTCACCTGCCGCTGGCGGCACAGGCGGCTGTACACCTCGTGGAGCTGCGGAGCGGGAGGGAGAGGGGCGTTACTGTGGGCACACAGGCCTGGGGCCGAGGCCAGCCACAGGGCTCGTCCTGCTTTTGGTTTAAGATCTAACTTCAATGTCCATCCAAATGGGTGGAAGTGTGTCTTTGGCCTCCCCATACACAACTACAAAAACACCACTCAAAACACACAATAGTCCCAGACATGCAACAATATACACACATCTCACTCTGCCTGTCTTACACTACATAATCTGATAGCTTCATACAGGAAACAGACACTTTTTCCCCCCCACACAGGCATAGAAATTCCAAACCTCTTCCCTGAAGGAAGCAGTTTGACAACCCCTCCCACCTTCTTCATTCCCCTTTCAAAGACCAGCTGAGCTCTCTTTTGAACTGCGGTATAGTACAGCTCTTAAAGCCATTTCTGTGGTCAACCAATTATTTTACTGGCAATATGAACAATTCTGGCCAGTTTCCCTTTATTAATACTCCGGCTACCAGACCACACCGCGATACCAAATGTGAGGATGCTTTCTACTGACATCCTGTAAAATCTTTTACAAAGTTTGTGTTCCAGTGGCCCTGGCTCCCCTTCCTGTATAGCCTCCCTCCAAGTCGTCTTAACCTCCCAGACAAAAACTAGCCTTCGTAAAAATGCCATTGGCATTCTCTGTGAAGTTTAAATGATCATCTATCAATTTTCCTAGGTGCTTGAAACACTGATCAACCTCCACAGGCTGATTAATAAGAGGGAGAGGTTGAAATCTAACATTTTACTATCACAAGTATCCAGTTCTTTGGTGTCATCTGCATTAATATGAAGCTCAACTCACACCACCTTCCCAGTTTACTCATCTGTCCCACCCCTTCGCCATCATCCCCAGGAAATTAACTTACGAGGGCCCTATCATCTGAGCAATAGATTAACAGAAGTCCCCTGCATTTTCTTTTCATTTGTATAGGCAGAAAATGGTAAAGGTGACAAAACACAGCCCGGGGAACTCGGGTATTAAAACAAATTTCACTGCTCGTAAGAACCTGCTGTGGGCGATCAGTTTTACAAGCTTCCCATTAACGTCCAAACCCAACAGCCGTTCCAGTAGTATGCTGTATTAACTCGTATGAAATGCTGAAGTATAAATGAATAAATGAAACAGTCATGCAACAGTCCCGTGCGTGTCGTTTCGGATTGCCCGGCCGTGCCCACCTTGCCCAGCGGGAGCTCCCTGCTCTTGCCGTGCTGGCTCTGCAGCAGCAGGGCACACACCAGCAGCTTCTGCTGCAGGGGGAAGCACTCCGCCTCGCCCCCCGCCATGCGCTCCCCGTACACCTCCGACAGCACCCGGGACACCTGCGGCAGGCTGGCCCGCGGCGCGCCTGCAAGAGACGCACACGAGCACGCGTCACTCTCCCACTCGCAGCGCAGGGCTGAGGCCCAGGGAGGGCGCAAGATTGACGCTTGATTAACTCTTCACCAGCAGGGAAACCCTGGACTGGCTCAGACAGCTGTGCAATGGGAGTCTGAGGCCCCGCCATGATCTCATACTGCTCCCACGGTGAATTTCTCCATTCAGGAGAAGATCAGGTCACTTTATTGACCCTATACAATTTCTTGTATTAGGAATTCCTCTTTTAACAGACCCCAACTTGCTCTCCATGAGACACACAGACAGGGAGAGAAGCTGGGGGTCAGAGAGCAGGGTCAGCCATTTATACGGCACCCCTGGAGCAGTTGGGGTTAAGGCCTTGCTCAGGGGCCCAACGGAGTAGGATTTCTCTGCCGGCTGTGGGATACGAACCAGCAGCCTTCCAGCCACAGGCTCAGATCCTGAGCCACCACTCCTGTCCCAAACTGAACAAGGCCGTCCCGATCCCATGTACCCACGCCCAACCTGAGGACAGAGGGGCAGCTCTGATCCTACCTTTCGATTCAGACGCCTTCTGGCTTCGGACGTCCGACTCCACCATCTCCACAGCTCTCCTGGGGGGGGACAGAGACAGGGGTCAGGGGTCAGAGCAGGGGCTCGACTGGGCCCATTATAGTTAACAACGAGCACCCAGAGAAAGTCCCAGCCAAGCAATACTGTGGATTATCTACACACGGACCTAGTGTTACCTGAAGCATCAGGGTGTCTATGAAAAACACACACTGCGCACTGAACAATGAACAGCCCTTGAGTAAGCTTGAGTTACTGCTGGGTATACTGTTTACAACACACCTCAGATGTTCCAGGTCCGTATGAACAGCCTGACCCGTGAGATCGACTGGGGACGCAGCCCGCTTGCTCACCTGCAGATGTCCAGAGCCTTGCGAGCGTCTCCCGACACCGCCGACACCTTCCGGGCACAGAACTGCACCGCCACTCCGTCCAGGACAGGCTCCCCGGACACCTGAGCGAGGGAGAGGGGGAAGATGAAGGAGAGAGAAGCAGGGCGCTGGAGAAGAAAGAAGAGGGGCGCAGGTGCGCCTTACCTGAGCCAGCCTGTCCTGCACGATGGCGGTCAGCTCCTGGCGGCTGTAGGGAGGGAAGTTGAGCAGCAGGGGGCGGCAGTGAGGCCGAGACTGGAGTCTGGGTAGGATACGATCCGTCAGGTCCAAGGCATTGGCAATACCTGCAGGGAGGACGAGGAGAAAGGATTGAGCTTCGTCCGGAAGAGGGGGAGGCACCCCTTGCTCCCGACGGCTCTGCGGCGCGAGGCTCACCGATGAGACAGAGGCGCGAGCTGGCCAGCCAGGGCCACTCGAAGATGGTGTAGAGGACATCCTGGGCCTTGCTGTCCAGCTGGTCCATCTCGTCCAGAACGAGCAGGCTGGGGAGAGACAGAGGAGGGTCAGGACCACAGCCACCCACACAGCCAGCAGGTACGCGCGCCGGCAGGCAGACACTCACACCATGGGCCCGGGGCGGGTGACGAGCTTCTCCAGCCGCCTGTCCGAGTCCTTGGGCTGGGATTGGCCCCCCGCGGCCCCCAGCCGCTCGGCCACCAGGGCGAAGACGGCCTGAGAGCTGCGCAGAGTCATGCAGTTGATAAAAACACACTGGGCGCCCTGCAGCTCCTCCTGCAGAGAGAGAGAGATTCACAGCTCCGTCAGCACAGACGGAGGAACAGGCGATGGAGAAACAAGAGAAAATCTAGATCCAAGGGCCAGGAACCAGCAGACACTTCCTCCAGAGTGAGCTTCCAAGTAAGCAGTTAACCTCTTTATTTTCTTACACATGAACAGGATGCCGCTTAAGGTCTTTCACAGTTAATTACTCACTTCAATAAAGGCTCTGATTTAAAGAATAAAAAAAATTGAGCCAAGGCACAAGTAACAGTTATCCAGACCCAGATTGGAACAGAAACCAGAGACACTGAGGTGCCACAGGAAGCGAGTCTGACACCCCTGCAGTAAAAGGAGGAAGAGGAAAGACCTCAGCCCCCCAGCCGGCCCTGGGGAGGAGAAGCACGAGCCACTGACCCGACAGTCCTGCAGGATGCGGGTCAGGCAGGCCGTCTTGCCTGTGCCCGGAGCTCCGGAGATGTACAGGCTGCCCGGGCGCCGACCTTTGACCCTCTCGCACAGGAAGGAGCGGATGACGGCACTCTCTCGGTCCCGGGACAGCAGCCTCTCCGGCAGGGAGGTGTGCAGAGCCTGCTTCACCTGCTGGAAGCGGGAATCTGCAGGAGGGGGGCAGACAGTGAGCCCGGGCAGCACCCCCGAGAGGCGGCGAGAGGAAAGGGGGGGGCGGAGGAAACTCACTGTCGTTGGCGAAGAGCCGCACCACGGGGGGGCGCCTCTCTCCCTGGGCTCCGGCGGGAGAGCTGCCCGGCGTCTCCTGCCTGCAGCGGAACGGGGAGCGCGCTGGGGACCCCTTGGCTGTCGGGGTGGTGCAGGCCCGCTGGGGGGTCCCGAGTTTCGGGGAGCTCGGCACCTCAGCGGGGCAGCTGGGAGCAGCCGGCTTGACCGGAGAGGGCGCGTCCCGGCACGGCACGTTCTCGTCGAAGCTCAGCCTGCGCGACCCGCGCGCGGGGGAGGGGTCCCTCAGCCGGCTCTGCTTCGGGGGGGATCCCAGGACCCCCGGGGGCAGGTTGCACCCATTTTCAGCTCCTGCACAGGGAAGACCCCCCAAAGAAAGCATCAGCACCCGCCCAAACCCTTCGGCTTCCCACTAGTGGGCCACCCAGCAGCAAAGCAACACCTGCCGTCGGAAAATAAGTTTGAAAATACCCGTCGCTCAGCTTCAATCTGACGATTCAGCTACAAACAAGAAGCACTTTCAACAGACTCTATCAATCCATCCATTTGCTCTTCCAATCCAGGGCAGCCAGAGCCTGTCCCAGAAAGCAACAGGCACAAGGCCCACCCTGGCAGGGGAGCCAGTCTGCTGGAGGACAGACACGCACACAGACACCCCAGGGCACATTCTCCCAGGAGCCAGTTAACCCCCCAGCATGTCTCTGGACTCTAGGAGAAGGAAACCTGAGCAAACTTGGGGAGAACATACAAACTCCACACAGACAGCAGCCCAGGACCACAACTGAACTCGGGGTGCTTACTCCAGCGCTGTAAGGCAACAGTGCTGACCACTGCAACACCATGCCCCTAAAGAATCAGAATTCATGCAAGATATATATGGGGGCTACAGTTCTCAAGGTGTTGCAAGTAAATCATGCTCCATTTTAACAAGAACTAACAGCGACACCACCGGCTGCTAAACCCAGCCTTTGAGCGATTCTGACTAACCCTGCAGCTGGGCAGTGCAGAGCAGAGCAGAGACCTGGCGCCCCACGCAGGCGACAGCGGGAGACGCGGCGATCGAGGGGACCTTACCCAGGCGTTTCCTCGGGCTGAGTGGCAGCACAGCCCCGCTGGGCGGGGGCTCGGCTCGGGCGACAGGCTGGGGCTTGGCCGCAGCTGCCCTGGAGGACTTCCTGCGGGGGTACTGGAGCGTGGGCTGGCTGCGAGACCTGGTGGTGGGCATCTGCAACACAGAGACAGCGGGTCTGAGATGAAGCAGCCTTCAGCGCGGGATTGAGTCTTCAGAGCAGAACCAGGACAGGAAGTGACAAGCTAGCACCTTTACAGCAAGCTTTCATTAGATCACTGATGCCTTACTTGAGCTAAGAAGGTGCTTCAATTGAATATTTACATTTTGTTTCCAATCACAAGATTGGGTTTTTACAAAATACAACAGTTAAATCACCAGCATGTTTAAGAGCTGGGGGAAAAAACCAAGGGCAAAATAATCTTATTAGTAGTACGTCAGTGAAGGGGCTCGGCTGGATCAGAACCAGCAGGTGTGGGGGTTCACCGGGCCCAGGAACCTCTGCTCAACACTGACGTCATTCATGCTCGACGCCAGGTCACGGCGTAACAGTGGCGCGTCTTACTCCTACAACAATAGGTTCCCGCGTCTGAAGTATCTTTAAGAAACTTAATCCTTATTCTTCCCTTTTTCTCACTGAAGGTCCTGAATCTCGTGGGAAACTTACGTTCACAGGCGAAGAAAATGGTTTCACAGTTCAATTTCACTCGGCCCGAGTGACACGACTCTCGCCAGAGTCTCTCCAGGGCCCGTTAGCCCTTGTCCGGCCCCCTGCATCGCCGCAAACAGACTACAGTATCGACGACACACAGGCTCTAACCTCGTTAGAAATCGCGTCTGAAGACTTTAGACCCCAACAAACCCAGAGTTACCGGAGGATCTGCGCGGCTGCTGTCGAATGTGCTAGATCATCAATACCCAATCCAAACAGCAGCTTATCACGCAAACTGGACCGCGGGTATTGCAGTGTGGAGCTTTACAGCCTTGAAACAGCACCACTGAAGGCCATTCCGACTGCAAACGGGGAAATTCCAAGCTTTGTAAATGATTTCAGGGAGCGATCCTTGTGCAGACGGGCGCGGGAGTCGCACAGGCCGCCCTGCGGTCGTGGCGCCAAGTCCTGGAGACTCCCGGCGCCCACGTGTGTTTACAGGAGAAAACCCGTGTGACCCGAACAAATACTGAGCAGAAAACCGTAATAACTCCAGAGAAGGTCAGGTCAGTCAACCTTCCTTTTCTCTGTCAACCCTGTCTTCTGGGAGAATAGCGAAGACAGCAGCACTCACAAACATTCTCGCTTGCAGTTTTTAATCGCTACACAGCGCCCCGTTTCTAACAAGTTTCCAAGTGAACGGTTAGGACTTAGGTTAGGTTCCGACAGGATCAGTGTCTGTATTGGCACTGTGATGCTGTATGAAACTGTAATCATTTGTAATCGCTGCTATTTAAGAGTTGGCGCCATACAAAATGACCATTTACCCTTGAATTAGGCAAGACCCGAAGAAAAGACAAAAGACGAAGAGATCATACATATACGTAGAACTATAATTTCCACTTACCTTAAAATATCGGTCAATTTAATCTCCTAGGAACCCTTTTAAAGGACTGTCTTGTGTCCTGTTGCAAACTCTGAGATACAGGAACGATTAGCGCCAAAAGCTTCCAAAGCCTCCTAACTCCTCCCGCTTTGAACTCAGGAACGCCTCCTCTCAGCCCTCATTGGGCAGCCTCAGGCTTTGTCCGCACTTTCCAAGTTCTCATTGGTGAGAATCCAGTAAACTACCGCCCCCTGCACCACGCCCTCCTTCCCCTGTGAACCAACGAGAGTCTCCCCAGAGACCCACGGGAAAACACGCCGAGCAGCCCGTCTCCTCGCCTGATTGGATAGTGAGGCAGTTACGTCCTGCGATTGAAGGAGCGCCGCAGGCTTGATTGGTCGACTGCATCGGCGACCCGCCTACAAAACCCAGGCTGTTTACACAACGCCCTGCCATTGGCTACCGCTTGTTATGATGCGCTGTTGGATGTACAGGCAGTGGCGGGAGATTTGTCAAAGGGGTCATTTTCGCGGCATGACTTAAAATAAGTTAAAAATAAGAGGATAGGCGCGTTTGCCGGTCTGCATGCTTATTACTGTCAGTTATATTTTTAAATACAGTATCTGCAACATAAACTTCATTTTGACTGGGCAATGAAGGAAGTCGCATTAATGAAGGGATGCAAAGGAACAAGTAACAGGTTTATTCCATACTGAAAAGAGAAAGAAAACAACGTTTCAGCCGTGGAGCCTTCTTCAGGTGTGAGCCTGACACCTGAGGCTCAGCCTCACAGCTGAAGAAGGCTCTACGGCCGAAACGTGTTTTCTCTCTTCTCTTTTCAGCCTGGAATAAACCTGTTACTTCTTCCTTGGCAGCCTACGCATGCTGACGCATGATTACAATCCTGCGGTGCACGCCGGCTGCGTTTAAAAGGCTCTCAACAAACCCGTCTCCCGAAATTTGCTTCAATGAGCCCTTAAAACAACCTAACCTTTAACCTAGGTGCGTGATATTAACTGTCACGCACTCGTTTCTTACCTTCAGCAATAATCGCTACTTATTCACAACGTGTAGCAAAACGAATATTGCAATTTAGATGAAGCATGTGGCTCTCCCCGTCTCTGAAGCGATGATCAGATACAAGACAGACACTGTCCGATACTCCTGCAGTATTTTTTTTGTCGTTCGGCAGCGTTTCATCTCGCACAACTCTCCCAATCCACTTCTAGACTTGTCCTGCAAGGAGCTGGAAACACTGCTTTCACAAAATATCATCCCATTAACTCCGAGCATAACATGGTGAAGCTTAAAGAAAAAGAAACGAAAATCCGATATCACTCTATGCTCTTCCGTTTCCAATAGTAAGACCCAGCTCAGGTCAGAGCTGCAGAAACCTCGAGTGAAGGGCTTGCACACCCCAGCTGGACTCCTGCAGCCGGACCCTGCCAACGCGGACACGAACGCGTGACCCACACACTCGTTTTTATCTTCATTTTATTTGAACTGGTACAACGTGGCTGACAAGACAGGTACAATGAAATGGCCCTGAAAGAAAGGACAGACACAGAAGCTCGTTTGAACACGGGCAGGAGCCCCCCTCACTGCGAGCGAAGCAGCCCCAGTAACAGCTGCGGTGTGAGTGAGGCGGACAGCGATAGACAGAAACGGATACAGACACTGGCTAATAATCGGTCCCTGGCTTTGTACAAGCCCACCTTTTTATTCCTATATTACAAGCTTTTTACAACATAAAAAATAGATCAATAGCTATGATTACCATATTTCCCCATAGTCGTAGTGTAAATATACATTATTATCGTCATTTATTTTTGATAAATCTTGTACCAACAAACAATAGTAGTGTATAAGGCAAGACACCAACTAAGATTAATCTTTTAAAAATAAGAGCAGGAGAGAAGTCTAGGCGTCCTCTGTGTGCAGAGAGAGGGGGAGGCCAGCAGAGGGAAAGGGACACTCCCAGTCCCCACACCAAGGGAAAAGAGAATGGAAAAACACTGTTAACATGAGCAGAGCAGGATCACTGGCACAGTCTTCCAATGCATCAGGTTAGTGTCCGAAACAAGACCCCACTGACACCAGCCACCCCAATTTCCCCCCCCCCCCCCCATTGCATAGCATCCAGTCCGGGAAGACGGGGACCCCCAAGAGTTCATGCATCGCCGCCCCTGGGCGCCGCGAGCTCGGAGAGTTCAGGTCACGTGGGAGGGCGATCGGCGGGTTTCTTGAGAAGATGACCAGTTTACCTGGGGCAGCAGGCGTGGAAGCAGAACTAGCAGCCAACAGCCAGGAATGAGTGACTCCCCACCCCCCACCCCCAACACACACAATCCTGCAGAGGTGAGGCGAGTTGGGGTACCTCAAGCACACCCCATTTCCATGCATTACGCTCCAGCTGTCCCAGAGTACATGCATTCACCTGCTCCAGTGCCCTCTCAGGATGGACAACTTGTGTCTCCTTTGCAACTAAAGTACCTAAACAAATCAGCACTGATCTGTGCAACTGAGAGGCTGCACATTAAAAGGTGGCTGTGCAAACATCCACCCTACCATGTCTGCACAGCTATAGGACACTGACAGGAGCAAGAACCTACAGCACAGAATGGCCTACTGTATGATGTATGATGAACACTGGCATGCTGACAGTCCGGACACAGGGAAGCTGATAAACCAACCCTTTTGAAAGGCTACAGTCACCTATAAGGTACACTAACACTGCAATAATGATTCAGTAATGATGCACTTGCTGCAAGACCAGCCTTAAGGTCTATGACTTCTGCTGAAGGCTGGTGCCTGCACAACTCCCAGGAGTGACCGACTGCAGAACCAGCCTCAATCTGCAAACTGTTAAGAGAATTTAGTCCATTAGTGATGTCCTTAGATATCAAGGAGAGCTTCACAATTTACCTTTAGACCTGAGCGGTAAACCGTTTCAAAAACATCTCGGAATGAATGCATATGCCTGAACTCTGACAGAGGTCAAACCACACCAAGCAGCAGGCAGTACCCCAGACCCCCAGTACCTGCCTCTGCCCTTCCAACCCCCCGACACACCAGAGCCACCCCTCGCCTCCGCAGGCAGCCTGCAGAGCCGGACCCCCAGCTCCGCCCTGGCCCCGCACCCCCCGCCAAGCGAAACGCAGAAGTGGCAAAGCTTGACAAAGGCAAAAGCACTTTTCCTGAAGCTTGTCTCATCAAACACCGCTACTGATTCACACAGCCGCCCATCATGAAAAGAGTCCAATCTTCCACACTCTCCACCGAGGCCGATCCATCCCTTAGGCGAACTGTGTCCGGCGCTTCTGGGAGAAGGGAAGGAAAAACGGAGCAGACTGCCGGGTTGGCCCGGAGTGTTCTGTTCGGTCCAGCTGGGCTCTCTCACTGCCTCAGCAGGGGGGGAGACAGAGAGAGAGTGGCCGATGGGTCAGGTTTCTGCACGGGGAGCCTTTCAGAATAAGACTGGAAAGCAGACATGCCACCTGGCTGGCCGTTCGCCAAGCAGCAGCAGCGCAGATCTGGGCGCAGGATGCAGAAGCACTGAGCGCACGTTGGCACTGGGTGGGGCAGGAGTCTCTCCGCCCTTCCTGAGTGCGGCCGGGCTGTGGAAGCTCAGGGGCGCAGCAGGGTCCAGCTGGGACTGGTCCAGTCGGGTCAGGTCCAGCACAGCACCGCACACGGCCCACAGGCCCCCCTGCTCTCTGGAGGAGCTCCAGGGGGACCTCTCCTTCCGTCCGCAGGACGCTGAAGAACCACGAGACGCTCCCAGCTCAAGGATCGCGGATCCTGCTGTCGTGAAATAACATCTCCAGCAGCGAGAGTGTTCCTTGCAGAGTCCTGCCAGTCTGGCAGGTGATGCCTGCTGGTCTCAACAGAACAGGGTCAAAAACCAGTCGGGATCCCACTGGCGATCATGGGCTGTGGCGAGGAGGGGTGTGCAAAGACAGTGGCCATAGATATAAAAAAAAAAAAATTAAAAAATGAAACCCAACACCTCAAGTAAAGTTACTACAGCTGGCTATTTTTTAAGTGTCCAGAGGTCGAGAGATCGACGGAAGAAGGAAGGTCACGTGCCCCCACCCTCGTACCCTGCAAGCACTGAGGGCTTCTGGCGGGCTCCACGGCGCCCTCTGCAGGAGCTTCCAAGTGCTGCAGCACAACTGGGCTAAAAGTGCAGACCTTGGCTTCTAGCATGACAATGTGGCAAAATAAAATCCCTTGGCCTTCCTCTGTGTTTCCGTTGTTAGTGTTCTCTAAGTTTTAGCAGGTTTTTTCCCCAACTCTTTAGTTGTCAAGTCAAACTAGGCGGTAGAATGCATAGTGTTTCTTTCTCATTGTTCTCGTTCGCTGCTGCCCCCCCTGCCCCAGCAGCAAACCCCTCCGCGCCTGGGGGAGGGACTGGCCCAGGAGTACAGCTCTGGTCCAGAACGGGCTCGGTTCTGTCGTGCTGGGCTCGGGGGGAGGAGAAGAATGCCATCGGGTTGGTGCTGCTGTCCGGGCTGGTCCATGTCTGCATGTGTGTGTCTGAGAGTGTGTGTGTGTGTGTGTGTGACCCCCGTCTTCTGCCCAGCGAGGACCGGCTGGCTCACAGTGTTCACCTGCTGACAGGCGGGAGTGGGGGTGCCCCTCTTACCACTGGAAGAAGGAAAAACAACCATTAGACTTCAGACTAGTGATCATCACAGACTGCACATTCATGAGCCGACGCATGTTCTAGCTATGATCACAACACCCTCCCCCACCCTCAGGCGATACTGTAGCCTTTGACTGTGTTTTGCCCCTAAACACCCTTGACAAAGAAAGACGAACCCGAGGTCTCCCAGTCTGGATTCTAGCTGGTCTCATAACTAATGTAACAGATATAAGCACTGGCTCTGCTGGGCTTATTCAATATTTTTCACACTCTAAGCAGAAACTTCACATAAATGTGATTCAAGGCTCATTTGAGATAAAACAGGATTTCAAGACTGAAGAAAAGTGCTCATTTTCACAATCAATTACACTTTTTAGGTAAGATGTATTATATTTATTCGGATGTGTCAGACTTGGTTCCCGACGACCCTAGAGAGTCTTCTGGTCTTTGTCTCACAATAAACACTGCTTACCTAATTGATTTATTAGTCTTGAAATCCTGTTTTATCTCTAATCCTTACAATTATATAATTATATTAATGTAAATAGTGAAAATAGTGTCTATGTAAAAATAAGTTGGAAAAAAAGCAACTGTTCTTTTGCAAAGAGTGGTGCATACTGTGTGTCAAGTCACTGGGACCAATAAAAAAAAAAAGCCAGTGTTGTTTCAGGATCAGCCCAATTAGAAGACTGCTAGTCAAAATCACCATCCTCAGATTGTGAATGGCACCACCAGGGGGCCTCAGCGAGTCCTCACACAAGTGTCCTAGTGTTCAACATTCTCTACTATGGATGATATTAATGTCTTGTTCCCTATTACTTTTTGCACTCTGGATGTTCTGCAGAATCTGTAAGAATTCAAGCTGGAATGATGCAGCTGCTGCAATATTTTATCCTGAATACACCGTAGCTGAGAACTCTTTCACCACTTCTCCTCTGGTTCAGCAAGGAGCTCTAGTAATATTATCCACTGTCGTGAATAATGGTTCCTGGTCTGAAAAGCAAATGAACAAACCGGGTTTCTAATTTAACCAGCGGGGGGGGGTCTTCATCTTTTGTAAACCTGAATTAGTTAAAACACAACCTGCAGTTAACATCCACACAAGTATAGGCCATTCTCTCCTGCACGTTCGGCTGCTGGCAGCTACAGGATCCCAGGGTCCTATCCTCCTGAAAGAAGCCAGGCTGCCGGCTTTGACAATATTAAGAACAAACAGCAGCACATTTTTACGGGATCTGATAGAAGCCAAACAAGATCTGAAGTATCC